ACAGACAACCTCTCGTCAATATGCGTTTTTCGCATTGCATTGCTGCAAAAAACGCATAAAAAACCAGAACTCCGTTAATTTGGTTCTAGCTAGGGCTAGATTTTAGTTACATAATTTAACTGATTTGGCGGAATTTTATAGGGCATATTAAGTGAACTGAAGAAATTGTTTAAGACAAAGTTATGTATTTTTGTTTTTTATTTTTTATTTTTATTTTATTTTGTATATTTTTTATATCATATTTATTATATATTTTTGGAGTTATATATTTTTCAATATTTTCAGCGTGAATGCATTTATTCATTGTCGCGCAGTTGTGTATTAGCAACAGTGAAATTTCAACCAAATTTCCTCGATCTCTGGCTCCTGCTTTTGAAACTCCTCTCTGTACTGCTATTTCGGGACAGTGAAGCTTCCAGCGGCAGTGGACTGTCGGCAGCAGCAATTCAGGAATTTAATCGTCGAGGCCCGGTATGTTCTCTCTTTGTTTTTGTTTATTTTTCCTCACAAATTGCTCTTGCATGAAAGTCACTTTGTTGAATGTAACCAAAAAAAAAAGCATTAAATTAGTGTTTAAGTGTTCTAATTTTTAGTCGTCGACACACTTCGCTACATTCGTCAAAACAGTTGAAGATATGAAGAAAAAAGTGGACATCCTCTCGGTGGACATGCTTTCTCTTGCCGTGAGTTCTGCTCCAAAGCCCCCATTATTCGATTTTATTGAGCATTCGTTCGATCTGCATTTCAAACTCTGCTTTCAAAATCTGACTCAATGGTCCTTCGAAGAAATATTTTCTAGCGAAAATTCTTCTTTTAGTTCGAGTTGGCAATGTGCGGCGGCTGGCAACCTTTGGATGGCTGGCAACCTTTAGACAAAAGTGGTAAAGCGGTAAATAAAGAGGGTTGGTTCGTATTTCCGCATGGTTCCGAATGTGAGCAATATGCTATACGACTTACACTCATCGGACATTTGTATCAGGCATGTTAATAAATTCATAAATTAGTTCAGAAATTAAAACGGCAATATTTTTGATTCTTTTTAATTGATATTTTTGGTGCGGGAACAGTGTAATGTAGATAAGGCTTTTATTAGTGTAAATTATCAAGCAAATTTCTAACTGTTTATATGCCTATGAAGAGTTATGTTGGGCCTGCATTACTCCGCTGCCCGGTGAGCTGTAGCCAGCTGTGGCTCTAAAGCTTTCGTCAGTGGTCACGTTTCGCATCCGTACGCCATTGCCTTCAGCACAGTGACATTGAAAAGGCAGGCAGGGGTCTCCCAGTTTGATATCAACGATGCTGTGAAATTTGCGCCAATAAGCAACCCTTCTGTAAGCATTTCCAGCTGCAGATTGTAGTTCATCTTTACCTCGCAGCTAAGATAAACATAGGTCTCAACTTCTTCCAGGTCAGCACTGTTTATATGAAGCTAGCTACGAACAGACATTAGGCATTTGATATTGTTTATCAGCAGGCATTAAGACTTTTACTTCATCCATTCCAATTTCTTCATACTGGAAAAAACTTAATAATATATGCACATCTTTCAGGTTTTCGCCACATTCAATTCTGAAGCAGTTATTCTGAGCAAACCGTCTACTCCTCCTGTAACTTTGAATGATAAGGCTTTGGATGATGTGATTTTGCATCTCTTTTCGATTGCTCGTCCTGGAGAACAGCTCGTTTCGCTAGACGCACTGAAAGAGGTACACTTAATTTCAATAGTTTTTGATTTCGGCAGAGTTTTTTTTGCTGACTTTTTCGAACGTAAACAAATTTTTTTAACCGCTTATTTGGTGTTCGTATTTGTGTGTATGTGTGTGCGTGTGTATGTGTGTGTGTGTGTGTGTGTGTGTGTGTGTGCGTGTGTATGTGTGTATACTAGTAATTTTTTTTATTTTGACGGATTCGAAGATTCATGACCTTCACCTGGCCTATTAGTGGCTTTCATTTTTTTGCTTCTTATTTTTGTTCACATGCACTTTAGACGCGTCTAATTGCTGAGAAATGCTAATTGCTTTCTTTGCCGCTTTGATTTTATTCATTTATTAATCAAACTGTTATTTATTAACGGTGAAGTACTTTTGTTCTCATTCTCAATAGCACGTAGTTTTTGGTTTGCAGACTTTGTACACAGCGGTGTTAGAATTCCTGCGTCCGATATCTCTTCTCTACCATGCAATCACACTTGTACCCCCACCGGAAGCTTTGAAAGGTAATTTACTTAGTTTTATTTCAATTCCAAATTCATGCAAAACAGTCTCCCTATTCGTTTTGTGAATCTCTCCTTACGTTTCTTGCAGTTGGTTCAGTTATGCGAATTTTAGACCCGTCTGTTCATGAATTTGAGCCGCTCTGTCGCTATCTGGGCTTCGCGCCAAGTGTTGCTGGTTTTCTGACTGATTCCTGCGTTGAAACACTTTTCGCTTCGTAAGTTTTTGTCTTATGCTTGGAGCTTTTTACTTCGAATTTTTCAATCTTGTTGTTTTTTTTGGCAATATTTTTGATTATGAATTCAAAGGTGGCGAGCAGCACAAGGTGATACTCCTGTTACAAACTTCGTACGACAGCCAGTTCTGGAAAAAGTTTTGGTGCGGCTCCCTGATGACTTTTCGGTACTGATCAATGAAGCTGTTAAGTTCAGGTTGCATTTTTCATTTGAATTTGAATTTCTAGTTTTTCTTCAGCAAATTATCATTTTTCTTAAGTACACTTACCCAAAGTTCAGTTACCGAAGAGATGTTCATATTACGATTGCAGATGTCCGTCGATTCAAATAGAGGATCATTCTTCTTCGGTGCCAACTCTGTGCCTTGTTTGTGGCTCGTTACTGTGCTCTCAGAGCTACTGTTGCCAACGTACGGTGAGTAGC